AAATCTTACAATGAACATTTTTATTAATATCCTAATTTGTTAAGAAAACAAAAATTACAAACCCCCCCCCCCCCCCCCCCCCCCGGCGAAGTTGCTTGTCCTTGAACCCAGCCAAGCTAACACCAATTGCCCAGTCCCGGCGAGCAGGATGCCCAGAACAGCAGGCTTGGCCTCGAGCGACGAATGACCCGGCTGCTCTCCTCCAACAGCGACATTGCGCTGCGCATGCGCCGCCTGCGAGACACCTTTGGCGCCCGGTCCATGGCCCGACGCGCGATTCCAAATTACGCCCCCGTCGCCCAGAGTGCGCCGCGGCTACCCGCGGACCGCACGTCTTCAGCCTCGTCCATATCCGAGGGATCAACGTCGGCAGCCTCCGGCCAGCAGGCGGTCGAGGCCGAGACCGTTCCTCAGCCCCGGCTGTGGTCCATCTTTTCTGGCTACAACCTTGCCGACATTCCCGTCCTGTCCATGATTCCCCTCCCAGTCTTGACCCTCGAGCTCCGTGACAATGAATTCTACACATTCGACTTTGCCCAGCGAGTCAGCCACGACCTCGTCGAGCTCATGCAGCTCGATCCCGGTCAGCAGGGAACCAGCAAGATGCTGCGCGTCATCCTCTCCAAGCCCGTCGTCGCCCTTCCGCCAGGCACCGCCGGCATGAACACAACCCCCAATACCACCGCCGTGGACCTCGAACCCCCGGCTGTCGAACCTACCCCCACGAGCACAACGCCTCCTTCCGAGCCGTTGCGCGCGAAGAAGAAGATTATGAGCTTCAAGAACCCGCTCAAGCACCGCATTCGACGGAAGAAGCTCAAATGACTATCCTGGAAGACGTGCTTTGGCTTGTATCAGCCAACCACGACCAGGGAGAAGATACAGTGAATTCGTTGGAAGTCTGTTTTTTTTTTACCATGCACATAGCAAATCATTGGGAATAATGTCGTGCGCGCAATAGAGGATCATCTTTTTTTCAGGAAAAGGCAACAAGGACGTCCTTTTCTTTATCTCTTTTTATTTTATTTTGGTTCGAGGCGTACACAGATTTATCTCTTGTGAACCATGGCCTCTTTTAGTTTGTTCATTTTATTACTCTTTTTTTTTATTCAGCCATATATCTCTTGGAAATAAAGCGAACGGCGTCTATGGGGGACAAACGCATATCAAACGAGGGGGACAAATGGAGACTTGATTGCCCATTTGTTATTTTTTTATTTTATCTCGTGATTAGAATAGGTAGCCCTGATGAGAAGGGCCCTTTTTTTCGTTTTCGTTCATGTACATAAGGGTAGCTCCTAAATTACAACGTCGGTGGACAGTGACACGTCAAGGGTGATGTCGTGATTTTGATGTTTGGTAACTAGAGGCAAGCACCGGCAATGTTATACGTCGAGGTGAATTGCGGAAACAGACAATCCCACTGACCACCGAGCCGGTCTCGCGCCTCGAGTGAATCTTCCATGCCCATCAATTGCTTGGCTGTTTGTTGAATCAAAGGTCGCAGATACGGGGGTTGGCCTTTGCGCTTCGTAAATAACCGAGAATCATGGAAATGCATTTGACCTGCGGGGAGGAGGGCTCGTCGATCGTTGGCAAGTATTCGGCCCACACATCTATCTCCCAGGTTAGAGGGGGCGGCAGTCCGATCAACTTCACCAGGGCTGTTGGCAGAGCGGTGTACAAATCGCGGTCAGACAGGTCTTCCGGGGTATAGAGAGATGATATACAAGCATTGACTATGTCAATATCACCATTATGTTTGGCTTGAGCAGTCGAGATGAGCTCCTTGAATGTCTCTTCCTGCCGTTCATCTTCTGGGAGGTTTTGCAGTAGTTGGGCTGAGTGTGATCGTTGAGGGACCGTGGACCAGCTTTCCAGTAAGGGCACGTAAAGGGGGGATTCTTGTCGATGTCGCTAGTGATTCTGTACCAGTCCGTTGAGAAGAGTGAACTGGGGGGGGCTGGAGTGTGATGTGACGGCTCCAAGCCATTGCTCGAGGTATACGGCTTCCAAAAAGGAGAGATTTGCGAAAATGTCTTTAATACACCTTTCGAAAGATCGTCAGGGACTTGTAGCCGCGTGCCAAATTTGGCAAAAAGGCACGAGTTGACGAAACAGGGAAGCATATGGACTCGAAACCTCTTCTCTGGATGCTTAGCCGTGTCCTTCACGTCTTGCCGCGTGTAGTTGCGCAAACCCAGATATCCCAGATGTGGCAATCCTGTCAGCGCAAAAGGAATTCGATGCGCGTGCTGCAACTAAGCCCAGTGATGCATGAGCGGCATCTTGGTCCCAGGCATCTGACAAGGGAGGAGATTGATTCGCGCCTCAATGCTAATATCTGCAACTCGACAAGTTACCTTGCGCATCAATGCAATGACTCTGTCTTGGGGAATGTGGTCCACGTTCACGGCAAAGCCTGGGTGGACTTGGTCCGTTTCGTAGGCTTTTAAAACAAAGCGAAATGGGTGTGGATATTCAGACAGTTCCATAGACTCAGTCCATGAAAGCCAATGCGCAAAATAGACGATAAACGCCGCCAAGGATACTTTGGGGACCTCGTTGAATCTCTTACCATCCTCCTTCCTATCCAACATGAACCACTCCAATTGCAGATCTGGATGCGTCATAACGTCAAACCAAAGATGGCACGCAAGAAGCATGAGCCGAAGAGGTAAAAAGTCGTTTGGGTACTCAAGTGCAAAGTCCCTCAAAAGTCGTATCAGCTCAGGAGGGTACTCTAACGCATCGGTGAGTGCCACTCGGTACACAAAGCCAGCCGGCGCCGCATAGTTGGAACTTTTCATTGAAGGAGTTGAGTTGCAAGTCACTTCGGATAAGCGTCGATTGTCATCACCGCGAGGTTTTGCGTCGTCTTGAAGTCCATCGGCAAGATTCGATCCAGGAGGCACATCCGACAAAACAGGCGGGTTGATGAAAGAAAAGGGGGCAATGGCAGCTCCATTCTCCAACCCTTGAATCAAGATTTCAACATCGAGGTCGTATGCCTTTTGGACCTCTGGCGTAGTAAGAAATGTCTCCAGAGGTTCACCCGAAACTAGTCCCTTGGGCATCACAAGATTGGCCTCCGTCGTGGCAAGATGGTGCGGAATGACGTCCTGGTGTTTGATGGCGGGAAAAGAAGAAGAGCAAGGTTCGCATTTCAGCGATATGCCCTTTAGATTGAAATTAGCTGCCTCCTTGTGGACAGGTCCAGATATCAATTGCACAAGGGGGCCGTTCCCTATGGATTCCTGTTGCCAAGATAATCGCGAGTAATTCTCAAAGTTGTGGGTGGACCAGAGTTCTTTTCTCATGAAGACGGGGCCTTTCATCTCCTTTGAAAAGGCCCAAGTAGGCGGCAGAAACGTATGTCTTTCCGCAGACAACGGTTCCTTTTGGTTCCTTTTCAAGTCCTCCTGGGTCTTTCGAGCTTGATTCTTCTGCCTTGATGTTGCTCTCTTTGCCGGAGCCGGCTGAAAGAAATGTGCATCTTGCTGGGAGCTTGAATGAAGCAAACTCATCATCCCGAATCGACTCGACTGCGTTGCCGTGATCATCTATCTTGTTCATCGTCTTGGGCGCATCCTCCATCTCCAGCAAGAGGGTAGAGTCAGGGGACAGGATAATGCACCCTCCATCGCTTTTCTGTTGGATGGTGCAGCCCTTCCATGTTTCGTCGCTCATGGCGGCCGTGTTGCAATCACGAGGTTTTCCCAGGATGGGTGAGGCAGAATGAGGCAGAATGACATCCAGGAGAAGAGAATGAGGGTGCATCTGCGCGTGGAAGAATCTGGAGAGAAGGCGAGATTTGAGGCGATGAGAATGGGAGAAAGGTAAAGCATCGAGATGAATGTCTGTGAAGTTGATTACCTGTTACTACCTACTAGGTACCTAGTAGGTACTACCTATCTGAGGTACCACAGATGCAGCTACTGGAGAGTGTGTGATTGGCTTCATCCAACGTTAAGCAAGTACTCCTGACCCAAGTGAAGGCATCAAGTGAAGGCACCAAGATGATAGGACAACAAGTACTCTCTTGCGGGCGATGGCCTCTGCGAAATATCAAGTATTGGGCGTCTGCTTTGCCAGCCGTCAGCCCCTGACCAGCTGGCCCACGTGTCAGGCATCTATCTGTACGACAAGAGATCCAGCACATGTGAGATTGTACGTCGCAACAGTTGGTTTAGATACTAAATAATATATGTGAATGCAGTGTTCAATTAATTCTCCGATATGCGTATGCCCATTAGTCTGATATAACACCCAAAATGCAGTATCCAAAAGCCCCCGTGCCAATGTCTATCCTCTTCAACAACCCGTCGATTTATACATCAAATATCACAAAATACACAACGGCTTACAAGATGAGCTTGGGGCCGTGGTGCTTCATGGTCTTGCCGTATGCGCTCATCTCGGTGTCCAGCCCACGCTTGGGGAATCCGTCAAACGAGAGGGCGTAGGTGGCAACAGAGTGGGCAATCAGCTGCATCTCAAGGTTAGCGAATGCACATCCACACCCACTCACAAACAGCATGGAAGCTTACCTTGGTGTTGACCTCCCAGGCGGTGCGGTTCAGGTTGTTCAGGTCATCGCAGATCTGGTGGTAGCATGGGTCCAGCCACTCTCCAGCGCGTCCGCCAAACATCTCAGCCTCCTCCTTTGTCTTGACAGCCTCGGCACCAGTGGCGATTCCTCCAGCAGGAATTCCGGCGCGGATGAAGCCGTCATAGTCGCTACGGCCGTCAAACGGGACTAAAAATCGGTCAGCTAGTGTTTCAGAACAGAGAAAAGAGTGATACCCTCAGGAGACATACTGAATGTGTAGTTGAGGCCCTTGGACTCGTACCAGTCGACATAGAGATTTCTCAGCTCCTCGGACCCGGCGGGACTCTCTGCGTTGGTGGCATTGTAAATCTGGTAGGCAAAGTTGGGGCTGGCCACTACGCAAGACTGTCAGTACGCTCATTCTATACTTTTCCAAAAAGGCACACGTACTCATGTCATAGTCCATAAAGAGACGAATCTTCTGGTTCTCCTCCTCAGACAGGCTCGCGGCGTAAAAGTCGGATCCCAAAAGGCCTTCCTCCTCTGCAGCCCACCAGGCGAAGCGAACACAGTTGTTCACCTTGAAGTTGGTAAGCTGGACGGCAACTTCAAGAACAGACATGCTGCCAGAGCCGTCGTCGTTGATGCCAGGGCCTTCGGCAACACCGTCGCTGTGGCCGCCAAGCATGACGCAGTTGTCGGGGTCACCCTCCGACGTCTGCGCCAGGACGTTGACTGTCTGGATCTTCTTGACCTCGGCGTCGATGTAGGCAATGGCGCTCACGGACTCTCCAGAAGCAAGCTCGTCGGCAACCTTCTTGCCCTCGACGCCGTCGATGCCAAAGGTGGCGACGTGATACTCGGTTGGCTCTCCAAGAGTTCCATGCAGCTCCTCTGGATCAGTGTTGTAGATGACGGCAGCCTTGGCACCAGCCTTTCCAGCCCCGATGGACTTGTCGCCAAAGGCGCACCGTCCTCGGCGGATGAAGGCAATGTTCCCCTTGACGTTCGATGGGTAGTCGGACTCATCGCAGCCGTTGTTCTTGACAAGCACCAGGTGACCATGAACAGGCTCCCTGTCCTTGGTCGCGGGCGTCAGCCCCATGGGAACCGCAGACTTGGAGACACCGTTGCCCAAAACCAACTGGGACTCGAAGACGTTGGACAGCGTGACGGGGAAATCCTGAGTAGAGATACTGTAGTAGTCGCCTTGGTCTAGCAGAGTATTAACGATGTAGTTGAGGGTCCCCTCGTGGCCTGGAATGTGCAAACGGTTAGTCATGACGCCAGAAACGGCCTTGTTTGATACATGTAGACTGACCGGTGCTGCCGATGACTCGAGTGGGATGGCCGTAATCCTCCTCCGAGGTCTGGGCGAACTCGTAGAACTTCTTGGCGCGTTTAAAGAGAGCATCGACGGAGATGGAATCTTGCAGAGCCTCGGTGTCGATGAGCGGCTTGGAGCTGTAGTCGACGGCTGTGTCGTGTGACGAAGAGTGCGAAGACGACGAAGACGGAGCTGTGAGCGGCTGCTGCTGCGGGATTCCAGCTGCCGAGACGCCGCAGAGGGCGAGCGAGGCCGCAAGAGCCAATTTGCTTAGAACAGCCATTGTGATGATTTCTGGTGCAAAGGGAGATGAGGGCGGGAGATGTTGAGAGGAGAATGGCGTTTGGGGGAGGGAAGAAGAGAACTGGAAAGGGGGAGGACGAGAGATGATGGAAGCTCGACACAGAGTCACGAGCGCGGAACGCTCCGTACAGGTACAGGTACAGGTACAGGCACACTGATAAGCAAGCACGGGCAGATAAGTTCAGCTCAGCTCGCCGGTATGCGGCCGCACGTCATTTTGCTGGGCGGTCAGCGGCGCAGCTTGCTGGGGCTAGTGGATGGAGGCCTAAGCGGGCCATTCCGGGGGGGGGAGGGTTGAAGCTTTTAGTGGTCACAAGGCACTAAACCTTGGGGGAAGCCCCCTGCAGCTAGGCGGCGGCTAAGGCAGGGGCCGAGCAGGAACATTGGCACTCAATGAGATTGGTGAGATGACATGAGATGAGATGAAGATGAAGATGAAGATGAATCGAGCATTCATGTCTCACTGAGGTGGGAATCATAAGAGACACTGAAAATATCACACATTCACCGACTAAACTCAACCAATGAACCTCTTTACTTTGTGCCATCACTTCATGTTGCTGTATCACATGTGCTCTATTATTCTCCACAGGCGGCATCACAAGCAGGCAAACGAAAACGCTCAGCCAATCGCCGCCTCTCACAATCTCACAGCCTGAGACATCGCCCGACTCATTGTACTCACCGTGACGGCATACACGGGTATGAGTATGGGCTGAGTAAGGGAGATACAGGCCCGGTTTGTCACAATATTGCACATCTCGCTCGTATTGTACTCTCCATATTTGACTGCTGATTTTTGCACAACTCCGCGTATTCGTATTCACGTTGACTGCCAAAAACAGCCTTCAACAATATGCGGGTTGTGGAGAAGCCTCAACTGCGGCAAAGCTTTGGACAATATTTCCCCAAGCAGCTTGCGAACAATAGAACTCTAGGAATAATTTGCCTAAATAGGTAAATAGTTGCTGTGAAGAGGCGCAGGAAAAGGCGTGACACACTTGGCCTCCTGCCTCAAGCGATCTGAGGGGTTGTTAATAAAAGAGCTACTGTATTGATCCTGCATTATATCCATATACTATTATATAGCTTTTCGTAATTGGTGGTATTGCTGATATAAATTTTGATATAATGGAATTGAACTCTTCTGTAACAAGTCATGCCTTTTTCTATGCCCGCGTAGCTGTCTAGCTTCAAGTTCGTACATAGCCACATCGTTGCTGTGGATCGTGGAGACAAGTCCGGATAGATGTCCTCGCATAGGTATGTTTTCTTTCCGTATACCCTGTAAGGAAAGAAAAAAGTCAGCCCATGAAACTCACATCAGTCTGTACCGTTACGTCACTCATGGCTTAATCAATGCGCACGAGTTATATGGATTGTTCCCCTAAGTCGCTTCCTAGATGAGTATGCGTGGCCGAGGAGTATAGTTGTTTTACCATAAAATATCATATTTTATTTTTATTCAAGTTTTCATCTACGATTGATTCCAAATAGCCATCTTCCAATGATGAAACCTTGGTTCAAAGTGGTATTCAGTACATGCAAACTAGCAATATATCGCCATTGTACCATAATTTAATATTGCTCCCACGCAAGCACAATTCCAGTCTTGACTTCTATAACTATATCAATCTCATACGTTAATGTTCTTAAATTTATTATTTCCCTACTGTTCCAATATCAATTCCTATCTAATGATTCAGCGGTGTCTCCTATGATACATGAGACGTAGGGTAGCATATTTGTTGAAATTACATACATGTACCTAAACTTCCAATATCCTCAGTCGATTACTTGCTTTTCATAAGCACTAAAGTATGACTCCTAATGATGTACGTTACAAAGAATGGATCCTCGTTGTCAACTCGTTCACCCAACTAGGAAAGCGAGAGCGATTCAGGGCGTCATTTCAGCATTCATACCTCCAGTAACCAGATACTTAAGGCACTCCAGCTCTACCTTTCCAACACAGTATTCACTCCAGAGCTCATAAGTGTTCCCATCAACTGTCGCGTTTCAACCAAGTCTGCAATTGCATAAAAATTTGCAACAAATACTGCCCCCTTTCTCAACTAATTATCCAAACTATCGGCTCTATCTAGACCCTGGAGTTGCACCTTATCATTGTTTCATCTACCAATACATGTCAGTTTGTATTGAAGCCACTACTGCAATCCTTTTCTAACCACTGTTTATATCAGCATGTCGGCCCTCTCACCCTTCACGTCTTTGCCTCTGTCAACCGTGACGCCACTTGCCACCAATATTGCCATCATACCCGAAGTGTTGACGACGATTCACGTTCCGCCGACTATAGAAGTCGCACAGAATGGCTGGTCTTCTTTACCATTGGACCCAAGTCAGCTATGGGATGGCAAACCATTCAAAAACATCCCTGGACCCATTCTCGTGGATGATATAAAGTTTCCCGAGGACATCATTGCTATTGAGGTTCAAAAGTATGCAAAGGCCATGTTACCTATCCAAACTTTTAATCACTCTATGAGGGTGTTTTATTTTGGTGAGTGAACTATTTCATCGCTAGCTTTACCTCCAGTGTTTTATCATGTGGGAGACCTCATATACAACTATAACTAATGGAGTTTAATTTAGCATCTGCTATTGTCAAGCAGCAGTTTCCAAAGGAATCGGAGACTTTCAACTTTTCAACTCTTGCTTTGGCCTCTCTTTTGCACGACATTGGTACAACTAATGACAATCTAGTCAGCACTCACATGTCGTTTGAGTTTTATGGCGGTTATAAAGCGCTTAGTCTCCTCTTAGCACTTGGCGCACCAAAGGACCAGGCTGAGGCAGTCGCTGAGACAATCATCCGGCACCAGGACCTTGGCACTGCGGGCAATATTACTCTCTTGGGCCAAGTTATACAGTTGGCTACAATTTACGACAACGTCAGCGACCACCCGTACCTAAAGAATATCACGGAGCTTATCCATGTCGACACTCTCAAAGACGTTGTTCGAGCATTCCCCCGCCAACATTGGCTTGGATGCTTTGCGGGGACGATTGAGCGCGAAGAATCGCTTAAGCCATGGTGTCACAGCACTCATATCCCCGATTTCGCTCAGGCAGTCCTCAACAACACCTTTATGCAGCCATATGAGTGAGAGAAACCTCTCTTCATGTGTCTCATTATACAAACCAGTTTCTATAAGAGACTAGCTTTATATAGTACTTTACTTTCATACAACTCTTATAATATTTAAATCATTATGTTTATTAATTAAACGAAAGTATTTTCAAGTAGTGACAATCTTGCCTGAGATTAGTTTAGGATAGTATCATAGGATGACTCCATCCTCAATGTCAGCTGATATTAATTTAGGCAGCTCGCTTGCCATACGGTTCAAATGGGAACAAGACTGCAAACAAGGCGAGTCCTCCGTAGAGAGCCGCGCATACAAACACTGGGCCTGTGGTTGATGGATCGGCGTACCTGAGCATAGTGTTAACAACCCACGATTTATACAATTAAAGGACAGATAGAGACATACGTGGCTACGACAGCCGAAAAAGCTCCAGCTAATCGACAGAAAGCAACGGCAATACCGTTGGCTGTACCACGATGGGCAGAGAGCAGAGATTCGGCAGTGTATCCGTAGAGCACGCCGTAGTAAATCTCCAGAGTAAATGAGATGATACAGCTGTAAGCAAGATTCTCCACTTGCGACTTGACTTGGGAGTATGCAAAAAAGAAGGCCTATCGTAATACGAAATTGTTAGTCAATCCCTAGAAAAGTCGGCAAAGGTAGTCTTCATCAACTCACCATAGTGATCAACGCGCCAATAACCATGGTGTACTTTCGTCCAAGAGGCTTCCAGTTGGACATGACAGCACCTAGAACGGGTCCAAATATTCCACAAATCTGAACCAGGGCATAGTTTCTCCAAGTCACATTGGTGCTTGTTACTCCAAATTGCACTCCTCGGCTGGCCAGGTAGTATGGTAGGAAGACATTGAACAGAGGGTAAGCAAGTCCAATGCTAGACCAAGAGAGCCACAGAAGAATTGTCGTGAAGCCCATCTTCTTGGTGAGAAACAAGCTGCGTAGATGGATCAGGAACTCGCCAAAGGAGAAGCGATTCTTCGAGTGCGCCGATTTAACAGTTCCGCAAGCTTCCAGGTGCTGGATTGTGAGGTGGCAAGGGCGATTGTACTTCTTGGCGATCCCTTGAAGGTTTTGGACAACTTCCTCGTCTCTGCCTTGGCCCAAGAGAAACTTGGGAGTTTCCTGGAGACGGATGACGGTGACTCGAGCCACGGCCAGGACTGCAATAAAGGCTCCCATGGTGTACATGAGATATCTCCAGCCGCTGTTGTTTGCTCGGGTACAGTCACTCGCATCGGCACATGAGAAATTCGCTATATGCCATAATCGTCAGCGCTATTGATCCAACGGTATAAAAACGGTACCAAGATAGGAATGACTCACGCATGAATCCCCAAGCAACAAGCCCAGCAATGGTGCACCCAATACCGAACCAAGCAGGCAGCAAGCTGAGAAGCCATTGCTTGTTTGAAGGAAGATATTCGAGAAAGACGGCGGTATCCAGGATAAGATTTCCACCAGCTCCAAAGGCGGCCACAGCAATCAAGACACCGAGTCCGGCCCAGTTGGGAGCTCCGCCTGCTGCGATTGTGAAAACTGAGCAGATGAAGAGCGAGATGTTGAAAGCGATTTTACGACCGATGATGTCGGCAAAGAAGCCCCAGAACAGGGCTCCCACAAGCATTCCCATGTACAGAGCGATGGTCAAGCCCTTGTCATATGAAGGCTGGAATTCGAGCACAGCCTGGACAGCGATGATGCCCTGAAGAGATAGTTGGAGGGCATCTACACCGTATCTATAGGGAGACGAACGTAAGCAGCTGAAGCATATGAGAGATGTAGATGTCATGTAACTCACCCAAAACCGTTGAGGAAGAAGAGTTTAAGATGATAGTTGGTCCAGCCAATCTGATCCAGTGCCTACTCCTATTAGCCTTCACAAATGATTAACACCCTCGTGTCTCACGACTTACGTTGTTGACCAAGTGCATCTTTCGGTCCAAAGCCGGATCGAGCTCTTGCATCCCAACCACCTCCTCAGCCCCGCCTGAGAGATCGGGCTTCTCATCTTGAGGATACTCCCTCTCAACATCTCTTCCTACCTCAATCACATCCTCATCTTTCGCCATGATTGCAATGTAGAAATAGGGGGCTCAGTTATGCAGAAGCTGGCTCAGTGATGATGGATGTCTAGCCGAGCAAAACTGAGAAATCTTTTCTGACAAGGTTGGGGTTGGCGTGATCCATATTAAATATGTCTTCAGATGTGGTGTTGGATGCCCGATTTGCGGAAACTGACCCGTCATCTTCCTTTTACCCTATCAACAGCCTCGTATCTCTGGCGGTATGTAACTAACCAGGATTTAGTGAGATAAGCTATAAGGAAAGGCGTCCGACTTTCGTTCATTCTAGCTCATCTTTACTTGTCAATCCCACACATGAACGCACTGGTTCGTGCGGAGGCGAAATCCATGGATCCCAAATCTCGGGGCCCCGCATTCGACGGCTTATATGGAGCGAGTATCGGCGAGTGCCTGAGCTTCGGTGAGGTTACGTTACGGGTTGGTTGATAGGAGCCTCGGCCGTAATCAGCACTAGCTGTAGCCACCAGACAGCCGGTTCCTAAGACTATTGACACTTTGGAAGACCAATTGTTAGCTTATCCAGAGAATCGACACTTGTGGCATTGGCAACGGCTGAAAGGCAGTTTTCCAAATGTTCTTTTGCCGTTTAGACGAAGCGTACGAGCGCCACACAACGCTACTAATTTTACATGCAAGCCATATATCTATTTAGCCTCATCGTGTGATTTTGCGATAACGCAGAGCTCGACGAATGGTCTTTTGAGAGCGTCTACCAGTGCCTCTTTCGAGGTACAGACGATACAGGTATCAAGATGGGCTCTATTGTAGATACTGCCACGGCCGGTCCGGCTTTGGACTTGACGGTCCTTGGTATGAACAGCGGAACATCTATGGTATACTACCTCACTCCCCGCGTACACATATTTATCAATAAGAAGCTGACGGGCATCATCTGTAGGATGGCGTGGATTGTGTTTTATGTCGATTTAGACAAGAAGACCCAACACAGCCAGTCAACTTGGAGTTGCTCAAGTATGGCGAGACGCCGCTTGATCCAGAGATCAAAAAGCGGGTGATGAATATGATTCTTCACAACTCTACTTCACCAGAGGAGATTGCAGAGATTAATGTTATTTTGGGAGAGACTTTTGCTAAAGCAGCGTTGGAGTTCATCAAAACGAACAACATCGACAAGTCTACAATAGACATTATTGGATCTCACGGACAAACAATTTGGCATATCCCTCATCCAAAGGACCAAGTCAGGACAACGCTCAGCATGGGCGAAGGAGCCGTCATCGCGGCTCGTACAGGAATCACCACAGTGACCGATTTCCGTGTCAGCGAGGTTGCTGTTGGTCGTCAGGGAGCTCCCCTTGTTGCTTTCTTCGACGCCTTACTTCTGCACCATCCCACCAAGCTGAGAGCCTGTCAGAACATCGGGGGTATCGCCAACGTATGCTTTATTCCTCCAGATACTAAAGGAGAGCTGAATGATGGATTCTTTGACTTTGATACTGGCCCTGGAAACGTCTATATCGATGCCGCTGTTCGCCATTACACTGGCGGAGCAAGAGAATATGACAAGGATGGCGAAATGGGAAAGCGGGGAAAAGTAGATGAGGAGATTGTGGATGAGTTCATCTCTTCTCACCCCTACTTTCAGAGACCCATTCCCAAAACAACAGGTCGCGAAGATTTCCGCGATACTTTGGCGCTGGAGATTATCTCCAAAGCTGAAGAAAAAGGTCTCTCGGCAGATGACGTGGTCGCAACCATCACGAGAATCACAGCTCAGTCTATCGTGGACCACTACAGGTGCTTCGCGCCGTCACAGGATATCGACGAGATATTCCTCTGTGGCGGCGGCGCATATAATCCCAACATTGTGGACTTTATCCAGAAAAGCTATCCCGCCACAAGGATTTACATGCTTGATGCGGCTGGTATTCCGGCTGGTGCGAAGGAGGCCATCACCTTTGCCTGGCAGGGCATGGACGCAATCGTTGGTCGACCGATTCCGGTGCCAGACCGGGTTGAAACAAGAAAAGAGCAGATTCTTGGAAAAGTATCGCCTGGCGATAACTATCGACAGCTTATGTATACGGCGATGCAGTTTGGGGCGGGGGCAAAGCTGGGACCTGTGAGGGATTTGATCAACATTGTCGATGGTGAGGTGACGGACAACAAGTGGTGATTGATGAATGGCCGGTTAAAAGATGTAGGTAGTAGAGATGAATTGTAGATAGAACCTGTAGAAGAAAGACTTTGGACTTCGCCGTCATGTTTCTTTTCGCTTAGACTGTAAGACGAGATGTACTTTATTTTTTTGAATGGCGACGTGCTAGAACTATTGTAGATCATTCGATTACTTATTGCTAAGTATAGGTACTTCCAGGACCAATGAGACCGGGCGACTTTGGCTTGTCTGTTGATCCTGAAATATAATTAGGGTTGCAATCTACTGTATATATCTTACAGTGTCTCCCAACTGCTACCAGAGGGATTTAAACACCCCTGGCAATATTGAAGGCTGTATAGAAGAGGGGCTAGTGATTCCTTCCCCGCTAATGTCGTACTATGCAGTAACGGCACTTGTATGTGAATGTCCGTGTAAGTGCGTAAGCACCCCAGATTCCTGAAATCACACCCTCTTCCTACAGGCATCAACTATGTGCTTATAGTCTCTGCTCAACTTGCAATTGTTTGTCGCAACCACAAATAACTATTTTCACGCCTTTCCTATATCGAGAGTAACCGGCATTTACAAGCCGTACGACCGGGCATGGAAAATATAACGCCTCTCCGACTCCGCTCGCGGGAACTAAGCGGGCTTTTGCGGCGCAACCTTGCAGGCCGTTTGACACTTCATCATGAACCATGCAGATGAATATTGAAGCCTCGGCAACTAAACTATGTTGATAATGAAGGATTCAATTGACAACCTCGGACGGTAAGTGAAATACAAACGTACAGTAATTGGGCGTCTTCTTACCGCCCATGTCTAAAAAAAGCCACCAGGAATGCGGAGAGCTTACAGCCCAAACTCATTCAAGGTGACTGTGTTTAGCCGTTAAAGTTTACCGACAACTATAAAAGGTGTAGGAAAACTCCTCCCGTTAGCAACTCTATCTTGTAAACTAGACAACTCAATCCTTACCCCACTCCAGTGAGAAAGACTGTATACTATAACTATTCGTTTGGAAACATGGCAAACATGGATATGGCAAAGATTATCAAACCTTGGAAACTGGATGCTCAGCCGACATATATATTTACTAACGCGAAACTGGTCGATCCCGTTCATGCACAAGTAACCGACAATGTTACAATCAAGACAGTCGGAGGCAAGATCGTGTCAGTCGATACAAACAGCAGCACTTCCCCTACCACTACTGATGGCGACATTGTTGTCGATCTCAATGGCAAGCATATATGTCCTGGACTCATCGACTGCCACGTTCACATTGCTGTCGTTCCTGGAGAGGCCAGTCTCAGTGCATACCAATCCATGACTGAGAGAATCAGTCTCATCCGACAGCCCTGGGTCCTCAAACCGATGATTGAACGGGGATTCACATCCGTTCGTGATTGCGGCGGTGCGACCTTGGCTATGAAGGAAGCCGTTGAGGAAGGAGTTTGCATTGGCCCTCGACTCTTCATTGCCGGATACGCGCTCTCTCAAACTGGTGGCCATGGCGACATGCGATCCTCGCATGACCAAAGTCCATGTTCTTGTGGTGCTGTCTCTGCTATCAGTCGTATTGTTGACGGAACATCTGAGTGCTTCAGAGTTGCGCGCGATGAGCTGCGCCAAGGAGCAGATTTTATAAAGATCATGGGTGGCGGAGGCATTGCTAGTGCTACGGACAAGGTTGAGAACCTTCAATTTTCCGATGAAGAGATTAAGGCGATCGTTACTGCAGCAAAGAACAACGGAACCTATGTCACAAGCCATAGCTACACGCCTCAAGCTATTCAACAAGCCATCCGGCAAGGCGTAAGAGGCATTGAACATGGCAACCTCATTGACGAAGAGACAGCCAAACTGATGGCTGAGGCGGGCACATTCCTCACGCCGACGCTGATTACGCACGTCATGTCAAGGCAGCTCAACTTCCTCCCACCCATCTCAGCGGCAAAGAACGACGAAGTCCTCCAGAAAGGCCTCCATGCCATCAAGATCGCAACCGACGCCGGCGTTACGGTATGTTTCGGCACCGATCTCCTAGGACCACTTCATTTCGCTCAGAGCAAAGAGTTCTCTGTACGAAGCCAGGTACAGACACCTGCGGAGATTCTTCGCAGCGCAACTGTCAACGCGGCAAAGTTGCTTATGAGAGAAAACGAGCTGGGACAGATTAAAGAAGGATATGCTGCGGACTTTATCGTCTTGAATGGCAATCCTTTAGAGGATATTACCATCCTAGATCGTTCTGCGGAGAATATTCTAGCTGTTGTCAAGGATGGAAGGGTGTTGACTTCAAAGTTGGATGATGTCAAGGTAGATGTGCAGAGTAGGCCATAGGTATAACATGATTGCTGTAGATTCAGGTATCCCCGTTTCGTTACTAATGACTGAAAACATGGGGGAGAAGAAACTTTATCTCTTCGCCGAATAGATGCTCTCTGTTTGCTATATAAAAACGCTTCAGAAAAAGTTGTTTGAATGAGAGTGAAGAAGTAAAATGCCAACTCATCCTCCTTCAATTACCTAACTCCGAATAGTCCCCCAGGCCTCCTAGCTTCCATCCTGCATTAGATCAAACCACTACTTTTGTCTCCCCGTAAATCGAGAGTCAGCTTGTTCTCTTTGACCACGGGTGCCTTTTCTCCCAGTTTCTTCTTCGAATTCGCTGTCACTGGTGTCGACATCTTCTTGTCCTTCTTCCGACATCTCATCTGACCCTTGTTCGCGTTGGTCCCGGCGCTGCTGCCACGTATCAGAGGAGTCGTCGTCATTGTCATCTTCTGCAACGCCTTCATGATCCCGGCTTGGTTGCGGCTCTCTTTTCTCCTTTCTCCGCTGATGATTGCCATTACCTCGGCTACTTGATTCCCTTCCGATATCCGATGGAGGGGCATTCCGCTGTTGGTATGACTTTGGCGATGGTCTTGGAGATGGTTCCACCATCTCAGGTCGCAAAAGACGCTGGACCCGGTGATCTTTTGAGGTTGAAGATGGCTCGGTTTGATTGCGATCACGCATAGACCTGTCATTCTGAGACCTTCGAGATTGCTTTTCTCGAAATCTTTTATTAGCCTCTGCGGAACTTTGCGCTTCGTAGCTTGGTTTTTGCTGCGGAGAAGGCGGTCTGTAGCTCCCACGCTTCCGTTCTTCTTTAAACATTTCATAAAGCTCTTGTGTCGAGTATATCGGATCTCCTCTATTCGAATTCTCTTCCACGCGGAGGTATCTCTCCCCAGCCACTTTGGCAGTGGTGGCGCCGTAAAGTTCGGCCAAGTAATTTGTAAATTCAAGATAAGCGTTGCGCACGGTTTCGAAATGTTCGACGGTTAGTTCGACAGTTATTTTGTCAGCGGCTTCCGAATCGAGACCGGCTGGTTTTTTGTCTTCCTGAGCTTGATATTCTGCGAGCGCCAAGGCTGTCTGACAAGCGTTGCGGATCTGACGCCCATTCCATCGCGAATCGGAGTAGTACAAATAGTGCATCTTGGCAAACCGCTTGATCCGTTTATAATCTATCTGAACGTCACGATCCATTCTCTTGAATCGACTCTGAATAAGATCAAGATTGAGTTTGAATATGTCGACTGTCTTCTTTTCATCAAGTTCAGGATAATAAAGACTGATATGGATTCGCGAGGTAAAAGCCTCATCAAAATCGCCGATACGGTTCGTTGTCAAGAACAAAATTCCGGCATAATACTCTAGAACACGTAAAAAGGCTAACAGGGGTTGATCAGTTGGATGTGTCTCCGGGGACCTTCGAGGTCGATTGAATAGTAGCCGATTTTCCTACTCACCTGCTACCATTCCATTCCGGATAAAGTCTGTTTTATCTCTTTGAGCAAGAAAAACATCGGCCTCATCTAATAGGAGAATGCACCCCCATTTTGTAGCGAGATTGAAGTTTGTTTGAAGTGTCTTTTCAACATCTCGTGCTGTAACTCCCAAATCACCTATAATTTGATCAGTATAGAGCATGCCATCTGGAAATTAGTCCTGTTTGTAAGCCAGATGGCGCTTACCGCATGTTATCTGAAAAAGAGGCTTTTGAAAACGCTCGGCTACGCCCTCTGGATGTATCTAATGGTTAATACAATGTCCTGTCTTGGTTATCTATGCGGTGCTCACCTGCTGTAGATGTCTTGCCAACTCCAGGAGCACCATGTAAAAGTAGAATCAAACCCTTCCCTATGGTCTGGTCAAAAGCTGGTTCAAAATATCAAAGGAATAAAACTGAGGGAAAAGGTAGCAGGGAAAACAAACGCACCTTTCCCCCGGACAATATCCACTTGTTCCATTTGAGCCGCCTTTGCCTGTTTGTCTTTGAAGTGCTGAGTGATGAGTGAAATTATCATATCTTTATGTCCGCTCTCCAAAACAAGTTGGTCGAATGCAGTCTCCTTTTCTTTTCCAGTGTTGCCATCCTCCACTCGTTGGCCAGTAACTGGATCTACCGTGGTAGTCTCCCGCACCTCAGTCAAGTAGGTGAGATCCAATTGTGCTATTATAAAGTCAGCTCAGCCCTATCACTTTGACAATTTTGACATTGAAATTTGTCTTAGCGTATTACATACCCCATTTTCTATTGCGTAAAACAAATCCGAATACTCGATAAGACATGATGACCAGTTCCTCATCGGAGAATGTAGGACCATCGCCTGATGATGTCTTCATTTCATCAAACGGTCTCGGGCAGATTGCCACAGATGGGGGCTCTTCTCTGTCCTTCTTGGACAGGATGCTGTTTATATAATCATTGCGCAGATTCTTGTCCACGAATTTGTCGTCTTCATATACCGTTTCATAGAGACAGCACTCACACCGTCCGGCGGAGGATTCTTGATCGTCTTGGCCCTCAACAGCCTCACCGATAAAACCCTCTAGAGAGGGTCTTTGTATGTGCTTTTGTAACTCACCTTCTGCTGCAAAGCAAGTCGCAAAGTCAACTACTACTTGACTCTCGACTTCTTCTCTAACAACCATAGTAGGACCAGAATAATACATATGCTTGACGGCGGCGACTTGCACGAATTTCGCCCCTCGTTGAATAAGATTGGCTCGACATCGATCTTGTTCTGGAATCTCCTCGAGCTCCTTCCGTGTCGTGAAGTTGAAATCGTCTTGTTTAAGTTTATGAAATCGGAGCGGATAAACCTCCAAAGAGGTAATGTCTCTTTCTCCATCAAATCTCTTAACCTCAAATGTTCGTAGAACCGGCCCGATATATTTTCCATCAAAATCGATATAAGAGCAATGTAAAGTAAATTCTGAGGGCTCAGACTTATCGTCGTCTTTGCCCTTGTATGCATAGTTGTAATAGAACAGGCGGTTAGAAATCGGTCGGTGCCTGGAACTGGCGACTTGGATCACGCGGTATGCCTGTTTACCATCGAGGCCAATCACTTCCGTTCCGGGTCGATAGATGTGCCATAAGTCCGAGAAAAAAACTTTGCGGCAATCAGAGCTTTGCAAAAATTCAATTCTTGCCTTAATGTGAGCATCAAAGCACTCCAAAACACATCTCAAGTGCGCTCTAGCAGTCGGCGACTCTATGATGCTGTTAGTTTGGAATGAACTCTGAACGATGATGGCAAAAATGCTCTCAGTGCTTTCTCTCACCCAATATTATATCGTCATAACTGGTTTTACCGGCGAGGTCTAACATCCGATCTTGGGTTTCAATATCCTCTTCCCGCCGTGTGAGCCAATTCCGTAATCTATATTCATAGTGGGTAATTGCTTTGAACGGTCGAAGGAAGACGAGAGACGGCTCGCTGAGATCCAGTTGGACTCCATCGGGGTCAATGAGCTTTGCGAAAATCTGAAGAAACAGGCTGGAATGAATCCTTATTCTCTCAGGTAACGGACCTTGACCTCGTGATCCCGTCGACAACGTTGCAACACTTTGTTTCTGGGCTTGAGATTTCTTCGCGAGGCGATCACGCCTGTTCCAATTGTATCTCACGTTTTCTTTTTCGATCACTGGCTCACCTACAAGAACATCAATTACGTAAGAGGTGTTCTCTTTTGCCTGGCCCAAGCCTTTGAATGAGTTCCAATTAACCAAGTTGGCCTTCGGCACCGCATAAATTATCGTTTCAGGCACTGCAGGAAGTATTGTTTCAGGCTTATTACCCTCTGTCGTGGTCGTTTCGTCGTTTGCATGTTGATCTTGTTCGGCCGTTTTCAATTCAGCCTCTCGTTCCAACTCGGCCGCCATCCGCTGTTCCTGTAGCCTTGCCTCCCTCTGCTGCTTCTGTAGCCTTCTGTTTAGGCGCATCCCAATCAAGTCTTCAGTGATGCTCTCTATACCCAGTTGTATTGCTCTCAAATGTTCGCGGCGTTTAAGTATAAGTTTCTCACGTTGCGATCGGTCTTCATCATCCATATTGTTGTCATCGTAGGCGTCCTCATCGTCGGACCCAAGATCATTGAGATAACGATTTGCGCGGTTCCTACGACCGAGCATTAAAAAAGCACCGGCCGTATGCTTATTTCGGGAAGAATCACGCAGTCTTTCAATAATTGGTTCCAGTGAAATTCCGCTCAAGGAGGCTTCCACGTCATCTCGATCATCCCACTCCTGCCAATGCTTACGCAGACAATTTTTGATACGTCGTAGCTTCTCGAGCTCGCCAGATGAGATTTGCGACGCACTTTCCTTTGCATTTAATGAATCAACACCAGCCTTCATTTGCAGACGCTGGACTTGCTCTCTCAATTCTCTAATCTCTTCGGATATAGTGGAATTGTGATCGATCGGAGCGATGTCTGTCAACGCAGCAACTTCCACGGTTCCTGAAAGCTGTTGATACGGTTCGCTTTGTCGAGGATCATTATGTAACACCTCATTGTCATCATTGGAAGTATCAGGAGAGGCTTGAACCTCAACAGAGAGGCCTTTGGGGCAGTCTGGCTGCATCGTCACGGTTTCACCATCCGCCATAGCACGAATGTACCACAGTTATCGTACGACGCAGCTAATGAGGAATTCGCATATAATGTGAAAGTTCAACCAAATGGAAATGAAGAGGTAGCTTGTCAGAATATAGCTGATAGAGTTTGTGTAGCAATGTTGGAGGGTCGAAATTGATGTTTATATTATAAAGAAGGGATAGCGGAGCAAGAAGGGAATAGAAAGACTGAGACTGCAAAATGAATAAGTGCATACAGATAACAATATAAGCACCTAATCAGCTTAATGAGTAGTACTTTAATAATAAAAGGCCTTTTCAGCCAGCACCTGAATTTAACTACGATATACCTATAATAGCAGTTAATATAAAAACACAAATACAATAGTAATTACTAAAGAAATAAAAATAGAATAATATTTATTAAATAAATATAAACATAGTAGTAGTAACTAAACATATATAGATTTAGTAGCAGGTATTAAAGAAATATAAGCATAGTAGCAGGTACCGAAAGAATAAGTATATAATTTAACGCGTGGGTGTTCATAATCTTCTTTGTCTCGGGTTTTCTGTCCCCCGCTCGCCGAGGTATCCCATATAGGACTTAGAAGTTACATTTGCTGTATTACTCTTAAGACGCCATATATTTGTAAACAATTACAAAAGTCGGGCAGCTTGTAATAATTGGCCGCCACCTATGAGACGCAGAGCTTGGCTGCATTTATTGCACACCATCATGCGCACTACAATCAACAACCGACCAATAGACACTGCCTTCGGTGACGGAACAGCTGGCAATGCAGCGCAGCAATAACAACAGAAAATGACTCAACAAAATCAGGCTCGGCCAAATACGATGGCACGGCGTGATTGGATCCAGGACATTTCCGTGGGGTTGCATTAGGAGCTGAATATATCATTGGGCGGCGCGGAGCAGCGTGATAGATTCGTGGCATCGTAGACGCGTTTCCCAGCTTTCTAGTTCTTCTGTTCTCCCAAAGAGATATCGGCCTTATAATTATCGATATCAACTAGTTCTTTGGAACCCCCAAGACCCCAAATTCAAGTTCCCGAACCATAATTGTATCTTATCCTATTCTTCGAAGCCGACATTCATGACAGGGTCACGCTTGGCAATTCCTGATCTGGGTAACCAGCCGCCATCAGTCGATTTCATCGAAAATCGCTTATCAAAATACTCCCGAGCCTTCACTGACCCACTTGTTCGGTTTGATATGCGTTCACAGAAATTCGTCTCCAGATGCTTCGACAATGAATCAAAAGATATTTCACGTCAGGGGCCTGAAGCCAGCGTGATACAGATCAATGATGATGCGAATCTTCCAGTAATTTCTCTTGCGGGTGATTCTTCACTTGTGGCTACTATAGACAGTACGAGTACTGGAGCAATGAAATACTGGGACGAAATGTTTCCCGATGTTTTAGAGAGATTTCGAAATACTCCAACTACTAAGACAAAAGGTGACGAGTTTCAGATCAGAAACGACACATGCTGGCATGATATATATCTTAAGCTTGAAAAGGCTCGATCGCAGTACCTGAATCAAGGTAGTAAGTTCGAGCAAGCGTGTCGTCGAGGTGTCAACCACGCAAAGACGGCAAATACTTTTGCTAGGATGGCTCAAGATGCAGTGCCAAGTAACCCTTATTCAACGCCAGTTCTTGGAGTTGTTCAACTCATATTGAATGTAACAATTCAATGATTTTGTCTGGCAACCCCGAAGAATGCTAATTCGAGATATGCTCAGGCCATGCAGACAGCGGCTGACGCTCGCACTCAAGTACTCGATGCTTTCGAAAGTCTTCCGTCCATGTTCTCGGAAATTGAGTCACTACTATCATCATTCCCAGAAAACGACACTGTGAGGAATGCGGCGATTGACTTCGCATTGGCTCTTCTTTGTGCTGTTGAAAACACGATTGCGTTTTTTTGCACCTCGAGAGGTAAGATCATGAACTGTGAATGATCTTTTTGAACCGAGCTTGATTCAATAGCGGTGTCATCGTGAGTAATAGCTGACAAGCAAAAAGGAAAGAGAATGGTCAAAAGCATTTTCGAAGGCACCGATTACATTAAAGGCTGGAAAGAGTCGATCAAGTCTATCGAGCACAAACTTATCGACCTTCGAGCTCAAAGCAATGCCGCAAACTTTAAGGCCTCCCGGCAACGTGAGTTAGATACTTAACAAGGGCATCAATTTACTTAGCTAACATTATGCCACCACCAAAGATAGACAACGTATCGAAAAAAAGAATGACTTGATACATGATGATGTACGACGAAGTGGAATTAAAATCGACATGATGTTTAACGCAATGTTCAGTATGATGAATGATTATGGTAAAATACGAGATGGTAAGCACCCCTAAGCCTCTCTCTAGATCATCGCGTGTGAAATCTTTAACTAATGTTCTTTAGACGCTATAGAAAGAGAGAGACGGATTATCGGTAGGTCATCTATATAGGACGGTCTACATTTAACAGCCGGTGCTAATGACATTGAAATAGCTGACTTAGCACGACAGAGAAAGAAGAATAAGCACCTTTATGCTGAGATTGAAATACTACGCTCCAGATCGCCAAGCCCAAATGCTCTAATTTCGACGCAGCAGCAAGATGAGATATCTACACTATACTTCGATAATAAGGGTCTGCAAGACCTACTACAAATTGAATACAAGGATACTGATCTGCGGTTCATCAACCAGAGAAAGGGTCATCTTCTTATTGATGAACTATCACGTGCTGAGCAACTTGTCAATGATAGGAAGTATCACGCCTGGTTCATGTCGCCCCAGTCGGAAAAGCTCTTTATTCTGTGGAATCAACGCCAGCCAAGGACCCATGCAGGCATATCCCCCATATCAGTATTCTGCGCGTCTTTGGAACCTATATTCAACTCCCACAGCCGATTTATTTGTCTCACATGGTTCTGTGGCCTCCATTCCAAACACGGAAATGATGAAGCTCGGGCTATGCTTGCCGACTTGATCGTTCAATTATGCCAACAACACGACTTCGATTTCGAGAGAGAGTATGACGACACCGACAAGACTCTTGTAAGGGAACACGACCCAAGAGAGCTGTTCCTTCTCCTGTACCGTCTTATACTCTCATTGCCGATGGAAATAACCGTCATATTCTTAGTCGATGAGGCGTACATCTACGAGCGTGATGGGTTCCAAGACGGCCTCAACGTATTTAACGAATTGCTGCAACTGGTAACGAATGCGGCGATTCAAAGTGTCATCAAATTGCTCTTTACAAGCACTAGAAAGGTTCGGTTTCTGAACGAGGCGTTTAGACAAGGCGGCCTGACTTTACATGTCGAGACGGCGGCGCATCAGACGGGGGGGCCATCTCAAAAACGCATGGAGAGACAGATGAGACTGGATTCTGATCAAGGGAGGACTCGAGCGACTGTTCTGGGAAGTGAACAAGAATACTACGAGAGAGATGACTTTTAAAGTATGTATGTCTATGTCAATTCCGCAAAATGTATGTATTTCCAACATTGCATTACAATTCTACTGAGCAACTGCATGTCCGTCACCACGTTGATCACTTCCAGCATGGTACACTCTTTGGCCGCTTGGATCCTGCTTTGCTTGAATAGCCTGTCCTCGGCCAAATACTGCGCGATCCCATCCTGTTATGAGCTCTACTTCATGTCCCAGTTTGCGCAGACCCTCGACAGTCTCTTGAGGAAATCCCTCTTCCAAGCATACGATTGACTTTTGCGTCAACTTGGAATAATCGTCTGTCGTGGCATATTCGGGCATTGTACGTGAAGGTCGAATGCAGATTCTTGGTGAATCCAAAGCATCCTGCGGATTGAAGCCAAAGACGCAAGAGTTGAGCATCACCTGCAAATGGCCTTGGGGTTGCATAAAGCCACCCATAACACCCATGGCAATATCAAGTCGGTCGTTCTTTGTCACTATTGCTGGAATAATCGTATGATAAGGCCGCTTGAGAGGTTTGAGGGTGTTGACGTGACCCTCGCGTAGCTGGAATTGAGTCCCTCGATTCTGTAAGGCGAAACCGCAACCTTTAGGAACAATTCCACCACCAAAATTAGAAGCGAGCGAGCAAATGAAGCTGCAAGCGTTGCCCTCCGAGTCAGATGTAGTCAGATAGACTGTGTCGGAGGCTTTGGCGGGGAATCCGTTCTTCAAAGTCGCATCAAAGGCATCTAGTTTAAAGCTAGATGCTCGCTCAGCCAGGTACTCGTCGTCCAGAAGGCTTTTCCAAGCTGACCCAGAGTGCTCTGGATCCGAAACGTAGGCATCTCCATCAGCAAAGGCATATCTCAGCGCCTCTGCTAGTGTATGGACGTATTCAACGGAGTTGTGCCCTAGGCTCTTGAGGGAAGGAATCTTTCCTGCCTTCTCCAGACTGTCGATGATACCCAACGCCTCTAGTGCGATGATACCTTGGCCATTCGGTGGGCATTCCCAGAGTTTATACTCTTTGTACGATTTCGATATCGGGTCAACAAAGGTCGTTGTGTGATCCATCAAGTCTTGTGTCGTCATAACTCCTTTGAGCTGCTGGAGAGTGCCGACGATAGCCTCAGCTACCCATCCTTCATAGAAGCCTGCTCTGCCTTTCGTGGCTATTTCTCGAAGCACCTTGCCAAGGTTTGGATTTTTGAAGATTTGTCCAGCTCTAGGAGCCTTGCCGTCAGCCAAGAGAAGCTCGCCTCCGCTTGGAGAAACCTTCTTCAGCATCCCCTCGCATTCTATCCATTGTCTTGCCGTGATTTCGGAGACGGGGAAGCCATCTTCACAGAGATCGATAGATGGCTTCAACAACTGTTCAATAGTAACCTTTCCGCTCCCATAAGCATCCATTGCATCGAACCATGCGGCGACTTGTCCAGGAACTGTGACCGAGTTTGCGTTTTGTGGCGAGAGTATATTGCCGCTCATGCCCAACTCTCGGCATTTTTCAATTGTCAACCCAGCTGGTGATCGACCTGAGCCGTTCATTGCAAACGCCTTTTGCTTCTTCTCATCCCAGTATATCATAAACATGTCTCCTCCCACTCCAGTCGAGCATGGCTCAGTCACGCCGAGAGCGGCGGCAGTGGCTATCGCAGCATCGACAGCATTGCCACCGGCCTTTAAGATGTCAAGTCCGGCTTGAGCAGCAAGAGGCTGCGAGGCCGCAACGATGCCCTTTGTGCTATAGACAACTGACCTGCGACTATTGAAGCGACTGAAGAAGGGAGCTGAGGGGTCGAACAAAGCATCCGCACCATCGCTGGAACCTCCCCCAACGGCACCAACTGCGTCAAACGGCATTGTGAGTGATTTGAGTCGCTGTTATCTGGCTCGGTTGACTGAGGTGGTAGCACCTGATGAAAGATAAGTGTCTGCAGGGTGATCTGCTTGATAATGCCCAAGCCGAACCAAAACCACCGCGGAGAAGAAGCCTCATCGTCCATTATCTATACCGAGACAATTCCGGAACCATGACCGATACGGGGCGCCAAGACGCATATTATCTCCTCGATACGCGGTTATAACGGGTTTGTTTCCAGTAGCTCGACTAAAACCCGCCCTATTACCTACAATCTGTCCCCCACTCAGACCATTGTGACCTCAACTATCGTCGTCTTGAGCAGTGAAAGCGGGGTACGATCGACAAGCAGTTACTCGTATAGCCGCGGTGAAGTTTTGGAGTTTTCTCGTGTCATGGCTGTCTTTCTTCAGCCAAGTGCCACTGCGGGGGTTAGATTCACAAGAAGGGGGCAGAAAAAAGAAGATTATGAACACCTACACGATAAATTATACACCAGCCCGTTCTTTCAGTATCTGCGACTATATCTATATTCTCTATTAACTACTACTATATTTATATTCTTCTAGTAATTACTATTATATTTATCTTTTTACAATAACTACTACTATGTCCATATCTTTATAGTAACTGCTACTATAGTTATAATTTTATAGTAACTGCTACTATAGTTATATAGTAAGCTTCGGGTACTGGCTACCTGTAATTAGGTGTTTCCCTACAAAGGTACTAGATCAACTTAGTAGTCAAGTGCTTATATTGCTGTATGTATGCACTTATTGATTTTGCCGTCCCTCTTTTTCCGACCTCCACTCGACTCATTCGTTTTCTACTCAAACGCTAGCCATCCAAGTTGCTGTGTAGTTGTCGAGATAGTAGGGTCATGGTCCCGAAGAGCAATGATCGCTTGAACAACCGTCGGATCTGACAGCCGATATAACGTTACACGATGTCACTTCTTCTGTATCCAAAATCCGGGGTAATTCAGAGGTTCGGCTAAAAGCACTGGTGTTATCAACAAGTTTGAAGCTAACGCGCTGTATCTTCCAATGGCATCATAGGATACGAAGCCATCCGGGGAGATAACGGCAATAGTGTGCTGTCTATTCTTATCATGTCTCATGATTGATTACCCTCCATGCGTCCATAGAACCTAATTTCTCAGCCGTACATGAAGCTTGAGGGAGATTAGACACCTACTATTGACAACAGATAGCACAGGAGGCGAAACTAGCAAGCTACCATCCACGTTGTGGCTTGAGAGGCAACATACAATATCATCTATCTTCCAACCATCAGCCGGGCTTGGGTTACATCCAAGATCGTCTGAAGCTAGGGCAAGCTAAATGGGGGAAGTTGTACTACCGGCATACTGCCATTAAGCACCCATGAAGCTGCAGCACAACCAACCTAACATCCAAACTCCAGCAACAACACTTGTCTAGTGAGTGATACGTGACGTATTACCATCATGGATTAATGCAAGATCGTCAAAACTATATAATACTGTCCCTTGTCACATAAATCCGAGAACCCAAGCAGAAATCATCAAGTCTATTAAGATAATTTCCACCATACCACCATCATGGCTCCAGCCATTCTCGACAATCTCCGTGGCCGAGATGACAAAGCGGTAGCTCAGGCTGTTGAGACTGAAGCTGCTCCTGAAAAGGAATGGGGCGTCATCGTTCAGGGGGCCAAGGAGGCTACCGACCTTGAGCACTCTCAAGGCATCCTCGAGGCTGTTCGTGTACAGTGGAAAGGAGTTGCCTGGGCTTCATTCCTTTCCCTCTCGATAGCAATGTACGGATATGACAATGCTCTCATCAACAACTTCTACGGTTATCCAGCCTTTCAAAAAGCGTACGGCATACCCGTCAAAGATGGTTACCAGGTCCCCGCGAAATGGCAAACTGGCCTATCGCAAGGGAGTATCTGTGGTATCATCCTCGGTGCTACGTTCAACGGCTTTCTCTCGTCAAGGTTCGGTTACAAGAGGGTTATGCTGGCCGGTCTTGTTCTCATGACCGGCTTCGTTGCTATTCCGTTTAGCGCCCAAAACCTGGAAACGCTACTCGTTGGAGAGATTTTCTGTGGTATGGTCTGGGGAACATTTGCGTCTATTGGACCGGCATACAGCTCAGAGTGTCTTCCGATTTCGCTGCGTGGCTTCCTTACAAGCGGTGTCAACATTATGCAAATCATCGGCCAGCTTATAGCAATCGGCGTTCTTGATGGCCTTGTCGGTTTAGACTCGCAGTGGTCCTACAGGATTCCATTCGCTATTCAATGGGTTTGGCCACTTCCGCTCTTCATTGGATGTCTCTTTGCTCCAGAGTCTCCTTGGTATCTCGTTCGCAGAGGTCGCATCCAGGAAGCTGAACACAGCATTCGCCGCTTGAGTTCCAAGAGCGATACAAAGATCAAGGAACATTTGGCCATGATCATCCATACCGTAAACTACGAAGAAGAAATACGAACAGGGTCATCCTATATTGACCTATTCCGAGGCAGCAATCTTCGTCGAACTGAGATTTGCTGTATGGCATTCGCTGGTCAGGTCTTCAACGGTATCTTTATGATGAATCCAGGCACATACTTTTGGGAACAAGCCGGTTTGTCCGCCAAAAACAGCTACAAGGTTTCCGTGGCTGCTACCGCTATCGGACTGCTTGCAACTGCTATTGGATGTGTTCTTATTGCCCATCTGGGCCGTCGCAGTCTCTATCTTTGGGGCATGTTTTTCATGACCATAGTCAACATCCTCATTGGTATCTTGGCAACAGTTCATGCCAACGAGTCAACCAAATGGGGACAAGTCGCTCTAACCATCCTATGGGTATTCTGTTACGATATTTCAGTTGGCCCAGCAGCTTACGCAACATCGAGTGAGGTCTCTGCCGTCAGTTTGCGGGTCCAGAGTGTTGCTGCTGCGAAGATTGCACACCAACTTTTCGACATCATTGCAGCAGTTCTCGAACCGTATATGATCAATCCCACAGCTTGGGGGTGGGCTGGTAAGACAGCCTACTTCTGGGGCGGAACCTCAGTGCTTGTGACGGTGTGGGCGTTCTTCCGCTATCCCGAAACATTTAAGCGATCGTACGAAGAGTTGGATATTTTGTTTGAGAGAGGAATTTCTGCTCGCAACTTTCGCAAGTACGAGGTGGATGCATATGACGTTGAGGGTGAACAAGTTCATGAGAAGACCGGTTGACCATGGCCTTGATATGATGCAGTATTCTAGTTTGGTTGGTCATATTCTAGTTCAGTCTGATGCAGTTTATTTAATATGACTAGTAATGTTTTGTATATCCATCGCCTGTCTTCCCGTATGCCCACGTCTAACCTCGTAAGCTACGCAATACCTTCAAGATCTGTTTTCGCCCGTCATATAATGGATACACGCCGAGTATGAAAAGGCTTATCCACAGCCATATGAGTGACACTGCAATCCACGATCTGAAAAACTATTGAAAGAGTTAGATAACACACGAAACAGGTTGAAATGATGAACTCACGACTTTACTAAAGATGTATTTTGCACCATACATTGGCAGAGGCCACAGCACCCAAATGCCAAAGAAGGAGAAAAGCGACCAGAATAGCGCATATCGCTGCCATCTCAGATCTGTTTGATCATATACAACCTCAGAGGCCTCACTGAAGACGCCGCCTTTGCTGCTTTGACGAATTGGCGCCTCCCGTTCCGATTGCTGGGTCGTTGTATCGCTGTCAAGTAACAGCTTTTCGTCTGCAAATCGCGCCCAATCATAATTATCTGGCCAGATGAGTGACAAGATAACTGTGTACAGCAAAGGGCTGAGAGCAGATGCCACAGTTCCATACATGCAAGGCAGCGTTTGGCCAGTAGAATCGACGGTTACCTCGCCGAACAATGCGTGCGCAGTCCCGAGCCACACACCGAGACCTGTTCCGAGGCCAGCTATAGCCGAAACAACCGCTGCTAAACCGCTTTGCTTATTCCACAAAATCGTGAGGATCAGCGGGAATATTCCAGGGCATGTCACGACTCCTGTAATCAATTTGTCAGTTATAAATCTTTTATAGATATGTTTCTTCTCTTACCAATCATATACAGAGTCCACCCCATGTTAATCCCTCCATAGTTAAACGCCGCAGTCAACCCGGCCGAGATGGCAGCAAAGAGAATGACTCCCAGATGGCTCCATCTGATAACATCTTTGTTGCCTGCATTCTTGTTGATATAGGTTCTGTAAAAGTCGAATGTGAAGATGGAAGACACCGCAATAACTTGAGCTGATAGCGTGGAAGTGATTGCCATGAAAGTCATCAGGAGAACAGCGACTGCACCACCTTTTCCAGCAACTGCCACAGCCACGTATGGGAGCACCAGGCCGTTTGTTACCTCTAAACTAGTCATGGTCTATTGAATGCATAAATCAGTATCAATAGTCTTCAGGTGACAATTGTGACTTACCCGAGGATATGTTGGGAAAATGGGAGAGCTTTCGAGTCCCAGAGCCGCGAGACCCATTATCGTTCCTAGACTCCATGGGATAGAAAAATATGCAAAGCCGCCCACCACATATCCTGGCACTACAGCTTTAGGAGACGCGGCAAATGCTTTAATAAAGTAACTGGTATCCATCTGAATAAGTTAATAGACGTGCTCGATTCGAGGAACGGGCTCCACTTACAATGACGGCTCCAAAGTTTGAAACGAGCAGAATAATGGCAAAGAATATCCCTTGCTGTGAATTCATCGTGAGGAGAGATCCTTGGTAGTTGCCATCAACCTCGTATGAAGGCTGAGCCTTGACTACAAGGTCATACAATCCATCGATGGAACCAACGTCGTGATGTGTCAGAGTTTTTGTTGTGAGGTAGCAACACAAGATGGCAATAACAAAGGTATGTATATAATCGGTTAAAAATCTGCAGGTATAAGAGTCAGCTGTGGGTTTCGACCGCATCCAGGATTAAGCACATACGTTGCTTTTATACCACCAACAAGGGTGTATAATACCACTCCAACCGGCAAAAGAAAGGTTGAAGCCATTATGTGAATGCCTGTTCTGTAGGATGTTAGAGGAAGCCTTCGCTGCAACACACCCAACACATATGTCTTACAGGAATGTGATGACGGCGGCAGCACCCAAGATCATGTTGATGGTATTAAAAAGATTGTTGACAACCGCCAAGAAAGTGAACACAAGATGCGCAACAGTGCCTGGCAATCCAGTTAGCCTTAGTTCAAACCAATTATGGCCACTTATACTTACCATATCTGATTCGAACTATTTCCAGAACGGTGTGTGCCTCTGGGATGCGTTTCTTACAGACAACTCCTAGATATGCGAAGAAAACAATCATGCTGTGAGTTATAAGAAGTCAGCCATCATGAAATGCCAACTGCATATAAGTCATCATAGTAGAACGTACGGTGTACATCCAGCTCCGTACCAGAATCCTCCAGAGACTCCGTAAAGGTACGTCACCAGGACACAGCTCAGCAAAGCTGTGCTCCATAACCACGACTATATCTCTTGGTCAGTGGCTTCATCGTGAATGAGACTGGTAAGTACCTACTGATACTACTGCAGAGGCAACGAGACCAGTTCCCACTGATCGATTGGCAACCATGAAACTAGAAAATATTAATGAAAAATGAAACCCCATTATAGAGAGATTATGACTCACGTCTCGACATTGGCATTATCTTCATTCAAGGTTTTCTTTAACAATCGTGTTATTCCAATCATTCCTAATACCGTTAATACTGGCTAATAGGAGATATACTCGAGAGAAACATACCAAGGGCAAATATGAGTCCAACTGCCACAACTACCGCATAGCCAGCGCCCTGCGGTAAGGGAGATGGGACAACCGTGTCATCGGATCTCAATAGCAGACTCATTGTGAATTTGCTTCACCATGAATGGTACCTGAGCTCTTCAACATCAATATGCATCATTCCATTGATATAAGTAAATGCTTGAGAGCTATAAGCAATAGTTATTGAGTGAGCGTCATCGTAGAACGGCATGGCGTGATGAGTTGACATCCAAAGGCGCATCCTCTTTTCACTTATATGAGACCATCAGAGCTAAATATGTCGTCAGTTTATGTACTCCATAGCTCAGCTTATCGACCGGGGTTTATAACCGACAACAATCTATACAATTAAAGTTTCGAAAGGTTCTACGGTCTCGGTAGCTGTTCCGTAGTATCAGATAATGCTTGCTGCTGTATACAGCTATGGATTGCAGGTTTGAAAATCATTAAAATTTCCCCATTCTCATGCATGTTTTATACGGAAAAATTGCATGTCGAAACAAGCAAGCCCAGATCAAACCTGACGGCCTGTGGAGGTGGTATGAGTCCTGTCAAGGGATCCATAGTTCATTAGGTCCCAAACACCAATGCCGCAAGAAGCGATATTTCTATTGCACACACGAATTTGTACATCTTATGCAACCTCTATCACACTCACAGAACATTATCAAGATCGTGGTCACCGTCAATTAGGTGATTGGCCGTAGTTGCTACCTGGTTATCACGACATCTGCAGCCAAATGGTCATCTCCTAATTAGGAAATTTTTTGTGAAGCTAGGTGTAGATGGTGGATCCATCAACGCAAACTAAAGCTGGACAAGAACTCATAGCAATTCTTCAGGATCTAGACGGATGGCGTATATTTGATTATTGAACAATTGCTCAAAAAGTCATGTGCTTATCAAGAATGCATAGGGCTGATAATCAAGGGAATGTGTGGAAAGGGGAAAGCCAACGCTGTCTTGGAGTGTAAAAATTTCAACACCCGCATAGATCTTATTTTGGCATACGGGAGTTATGATATTAGTAGGCGATGGCCTCCAGTACGCGTATTTCTATAATTGCTCAGAGCCTAGATAAGATCTATGTGACACAAAATGAATGAGTACTATGATTGCATAAAACTAAAGTACAGGTGCCATGGTTTCAGGCAAGATAATAAGGTAAATCCTTGAATAGGTTGCAGTGACGACAAATTCCCCAGGTGGTTGGCCAGCACGGAGGAGAATGTAATGGTCGGTGCCATCGTGTCGAGAAGGGAAGTCTTCTGTGGGAGCAGCACACCTAAGCCGTATTATAAAGAAGACAATTGAGCATGGAGAAGAACAGCGCTTACACGTTTCCATAGATTAGTCTCGCTTGCAGGGACTTGTCTGCAACTTTCTCGACTTACAGTGACACCACTCGCCCGCCTCCGGACAGCCCATTCTCACCACGTCGCGATGGTTGTGCGGATGGTCATTTATATCGTGGAGATATAAACCTCGATAGCCTCTAGGCATTGAACCTTTCTGTTGTCAACAGGAGTATTTGAGGGTCACAAGAGAGTGCTTGTGGCCCACTTCCGTGGGCTGGTATGATGCGCTGCCAGGAGGAGTTTTACACATTGCTGAAGAGTGATGTGTTGATAAAACATAACGAGTAAGCTATAGAGCGAGAGACTGTGATAATTATTAAAGTAATAATGCTATAAGAGAAGAAGGGAGAAGAGTAGGGGAGAAAGAGAGAGAGAAGGGGGAGAGGTAAACAGAGTAACACCCGGCTAAGCGAGCGAGGCTTGATTGAAGTCGCCCAGTGTGAAGCGTCGCGATGGCAACGAAGTCTCTATCAGCTCCAATGTGTCAAGAACTCCCTGCAGGAATGATGTAATTATATAATTAAGAATTAAATGATGGTGAGAAGTAAGTGCTGTCGTAAGGTCAGGGGGAAGAAGTGTGCTATTATGTCCTTGTGTCTCCTAATGATCCTTTGACCAGAAATAAGACGTATGCTGCCGGGATAATCATGAACTATTATACATGCAGAACACAGAGAACGTTCAATCGGCCGTCTCTATATCATTTACGTCTGGAACATCCGTACATGCCTCTTCTGCACTCTGCCGCACCGCCTGCAATACTGTATCTGATCGCGGCGTGATATCCACCTTAAATGGCTTGGTTTTCCTATTCATTGTCTTTATAATGAGGAGGTAGTGCATTAGCAGCATATGCTGTAGTTGATATACAATATCAACGGTATGAGTACTCACCCATATGTCAGTCATGCGCAATGGAGGTTCTCGAACCCTGGGAGTAATGTTAAACGCCCACCGGTAACGAGAGATCTGGATGAAGAGCGAATTCTCTGCGACATATATGCCTTATAAAAATATAAGATTACTTGTCACGACTCCA